GATTCATCAAAAAATGGAGAGGTTTAGATAAATAAAACACAAGAATTGAAAAGAGGATAGAATTATAGATGAAGCATGAATTTGAAAACAAGTAAGAGAATAACATGAAAGACTATTCCAGTAAATTTGGAAACAAGTAGGAAAAAATGGAAATACTTATTTTATCAGAATGGACTCAAAGAGACCAAGGAACTAAATTGCTCTATAACTGTACAAAAAGTAAAATTGATTTACTTTTTGTAATTATTGAAAAATAAATCCCTAAAAAGAAAAGAAACATTGTTTCTCAAGTAACTGCTAATAAACTTGTAAGACAATTCCCATTTTACAGAAAGTTTTCTATAACATTGAAAAACTAGTAAACATTCCTCAATGTGTTTTATGAAGCTGATATACATCTGATAGTAAAACGAATATGATGAAAATGTTACAAAGAAGGTAAATTATAGGCACAATCTCACTGAAATATGCTAAGATCCTAAACAAATTATTTCCACTTTTATGTAAGAAGATAAAAATCCTGGAGTTGGCATGATGGCATAGTGGGTTAAGTAGCTGCCTGAGATGCCACCATCCCTTATGAATGCCAATTAGTGTCCACTGCTGACCCAGCTTCCTGCTAATGTGCCTGGGGAAAGCAGCAGAAGATGACCCAAGTGCTTGTGTCTTGGTTGCCATGTGGGAGACCTGAATGAAGATCCTGGCTCCTGACTTCAGCCTGGTCCAGCCCTGGCAGCTGCAGCCATTTGGAGAGTGAACCAGCAGATGGGAGGAGATAAAAATCCATTATCAAGTTTTACGTAAGTATATGAAAATCTCCAGGAATGCATAAAGTTAGTATAATGGAGAAAAAGAAGAAAAAACCTGCAGCAAATATAAATTTTTTTTTTGACAGGCAGAGTTAGACAGTGAGAGAGAAAGACAGAGAGAAAGGTCTTCCTTCCATTGGTTCACCCCCCAAATGGCTGCTACGGCACACACACTGCATCGATTCGAAGCCAGGAGCCAGGTGCTTCCTCCTGGTCTCCCATGGGGTGCAGGGCCCAAGCACTTGGGCCATCCTCCACTGCACTCCTGGGCCACAGCAGTGAGCTTGACTGGAAGAGGAGCAACCGGGACAGAGTCCAGCGCCCCGACCGGGACTAAAACCCAGCGCTGCAGGCGGGGGATTAGCCTAGTGAGCTGCGGCGCTGGCCAGCAAATATCATTTTTAGTGATGAAATGTTAAGAGTCCTTTAGAATTAGAAACAGGAGAACAATACCCACTGTCAATGCTTCTATTACTCTCCTAGTATTTACATCAGGCAAAAAATCAGACTAGAATAGAAAGTATGACTAGAAAGCAAAGAATAAATATATTCTTATTTGCAGATGATATTACTATTTAATAATCTTTATACAATTAGAAATTGTAATTTAAAAATATACCATTTCATATAACAACACAAATATTATAGTACAATAAAAAGTACATGGACAATTGATTTTCAAGTTGGAAAAAATAGCTTATAAGTTAACTTATATTCCACATCATACACATAAATAAATTCCAGGTAAACTGTGAACATCATAATAAAAAATAAAACACTAAAATTCTCAGGAGAAAACTTGATAATATCTTTACAACTTTGGTGTATGCAACAATTATTTATTCAAGATATCAAAGGTAGGACCCACCACAGAAGAAAATATTAGTGGACTTGTCTACATTAATATTTAAAACTCCTATTCATCAAAGTTATCATTTCAAAGTGAAAAGTCAAGCCACACATAGCATAATCTATTTAAAATTCACATATCCAATGAATAATATTGAAAATGAGTATTTTTAAATGACTCCTAAAAATCAATGCAAAACTTCAAATAATTCAACAGAAAAAAATGTTCCAAAGAGATATTTGGATATTTCACAGAGGAAGATATATGAATGGTCTATAAACATATACAACATGTGAATAGAGAAATACAAATAAGTTTCAATGAGATTCCCAATTTATTGGCAGTTGTGTTAAAACATGATAAAACCACATATTGTCAAAGGTGTGGGACATTGAGAACTCAAATATTTCCAATGAAGTCTAAATTGATTTAATTGCTATATGAAATAAATCTAGCATTCGTTAATATATTTCAAGATGCATAAACACTATGCCTCAAAATTTTCACTCAAAAATGTTTTTGTGTGTACACTGGAAGACAAACAGAAGCTTTTTAGTGGCATTTATATAAAAATAACCAAAAAATGAAAACTTCTATAATGGATTAATTTTTTGTATTTATACAATTGAATGCTATATAGCAGTGACAAATGAACAGCACTATGCGCAGTAACATGGGTGGAATTCACACATAAAATCTTAAAGTCCAAAAATGAGTAAGCCACAAAATAATATATACTTGCAGTTTTCTTTACATGAGCTCAAAAAGAGGCAAAACAAAGCAAGGCAAGTACATTTTCAGAGATGGTGGCAAATCCTACTGTTTATTCTAAATATTCAGTATCCTTTGTTTAGATTACACTTTCCATTATACTGATGTTAATCTCACCCAGGAGACTGACTTTGGCTAACTGAATGCTAGCAGGTGTGAGACATGTCACTTGTGAGAAGAAGCCTTTAGAGTTATCACACCATTCTGCTATCACTCCTCATTGAGGCTGCTCATCTTCTGGAATTCCAGAAGACAACATAGGACACAAAGGCTAAACCAATCTGCAGTCAATGTAGAGCTATGTAAAATAAGCGAGAAACAATGCTTTATTTTTATAAGCAATTAGTATTAAAGATTATTGCCTTAGGCCAGCACCATGGCTCACTTGCTTAATCCTCTGCCTGCGGCGCTGGCATCCCATTTGGGCGCCAGGTTCTAGTCCTGGTTGCTCCTCTTCCAGGCCAGCTCTCTGCTGTGGCCCAGGAAAGCAGTGCAGGATGGCCCAAGTGCTTGGGCGTCTGCACCTGCAAGGGAGACCAGGAGGAGGCACCTGGCTTCTGGCTTCAGATCGACGCAGTGCCGGCTGTAGCGGCCATTTGGGGAGTGAACCAATGGAAGGAAGACCTTTCTCTCTCTCTGTCACTGTCTATAACTCTACTGTCAAATAAATTTTAAAAAAATTAATGATTAAAGATTATTATTAAAAATTAAAGATTATTGCCTCAAATACTTGTAACCTTAACTCCTAAAATAAGTTCCACTGGTTTTGTTGCAGAGTGGTGGCTAGCACAGAAATTTTTTTGAGAGTGTGAAATACTTAATGAGACTAAAGCTGTGACAACATGAAAACAGATACTATTTGGAATGACCTTGTGAACTTAAGTGGAGAGTTTGGGAAGGAGAATAATACTAGCGTATCTTGCCTGCTATTGGCTACATTTGATGTGATGGCATAGAAAAGAGGTGAGTTCATAGAAAAGTTGACCAATTTTGAAGAAAAGATGAAAATAAAGAAAAGAAGTTGATGACTAAGAGGGCTGGAAGATGAAATTTAATTTCATATCCAAAAGTAAACCTGAGAATTTCTTTAGGTGACAAAGCTGATTAAAACCTTTGGGGAGGCAGAGACCCCAACAAGGTTGTTAGAAGTGAATTACTGGCCGGCGCCGCGGCTCACTAGGCTAATCCTCCGCCTTGCAGCACCGGCACACCGGGTTCTAGTTCCGGTCGGGGCACCGGATTCTGTCCCAGTTGCCCCTCTTCCAGGCCAGCTCTCTGCTGTGGCCAGGGAGTGCAGTGGAGGATGGCCCAAGTGCTTGGGCCCTGCACCCCATGGGAGACCAGGAGAAGTACCTGGCTCCTGCCATCAGATCAGCGCAGTGTGCTGGCTGCAGCGCGCCTGTCACAGGGGCCATTGGAGGGTGAACCAAGGGCAAAGGAAGACCTTTCTCTCTGTCTCTCTCTCTCACTGTCCACTCTGCCTGTCCAAAAAAAAAAAAAAGTGAGTTACTTTTTTTTTTTTTAGAATTAATTATGGTGGCAACTGACAGTGCTTTTCAGGTGCACAAAATGGCTCTAAAGAGTTCTAGATGGTAGATAGGAAAGTGCAAAAGACTTTATGCTTTATAATATGTTCTTTATCTTTTTATTTTTAACTCTTTTATATATATTTTAAATATTAAAAAGGAAAGCTCCACCCCAATAAAGAGTGTAACAGTGTAACTCCTTCACAGAAGTCTGAGAGGCTCAAATATACCTGTTAAAGTCTAGAGAAGAGAAACACAGCAAACAGAATTGTGAGTGGGGCTGTTGGTACAAAAAGATGGAAAAATTATTTAGAGAATTATACCATGAGAGAGTCATCAAACTAGATTTAAAAAGACCCTGTGTATTCTAAGCCTAACAGCAAAAAGCAAGAAATTCTCAGCCCCCTTTGGACCATATTCTCTAGTGCTTTTTAGATGTGGACCAATGAGGATAATGAAAAGTGAGAACTTCCCAGAGGGTGGAGCCAAAAGTTACCTATAACTATGGACTGGAGAGCTAGTCAGAGAATAGAATGAACCTAATCAAGAGGTGTTTCTCCTGCCCACAGTAGAGGGCCCTCACAATATTTGCCAAATAGGATTTCCAAATTGAGAGGTTAGGGTGGCAGGTTTAGTTTTAGTTCATTGGCCTCCAAATGAAGAGTAGCTATACCCATACCTGGTGATAAAGCTATCACAAAACCCTGGACCATGAATACCATTCTGCAATTGATACATCATTTGAGTTGTTTTCCTTGAGAAAGAGTGGGAAATGAATTCTTGTGCCCAAGAAAGCAGATCATAGTCAATTTATTATTGTACCCCAACTATTCACAATTATTGCTTAAAAGGGGGATTATACACCCCTGCCATTTGCTGGCTGTCTTTAGTGCCCGTCCCATTACAGAACTTCTCCACTGATAACAGGTTTGACCAAGGAAACATGAAGGAACTAATATGTGCCACTTCCCAGCATGAGTTTTAAGAGGCATTGCATAGTGCTGCCCCAGTTCTTTTTCTTTTGTAGTGAAAGTGAGACAGGTGAAATAGGGTTCCCCCTTTAGCCTGAGCCCTGGTGTGAAGGCATGGAGCAGAGGCCAAGCTGACCCACAGAAACGCAGCCAATCTGCACCTGATATGTACTTGAGGGGAAAAAAAATCAACATTTCTTGATTTAGGTTATTATCATAGCTTAAATTAGCAAAAGCACACAGATTGAAATTGAAAGACAAGGGAATTTTAAACACACAATTTGAAATAGCTGTTACCATTAACAGGGGAGGCAGGAGGACATAGGAAGGAGCACCTGGGGCACTGCTTAAATTCAGTGACGTGCATGGTTACTCATTTACCATTCTGTTATATTGTGTGTGTGAGTGTGTGTATTTATGGTGTGTACACATGGGCAGTTTGTGGAAAACATTGAGTTAAAGTAAGTTTGCTTTGGTGGAAAAAAATTGAATCCAGGAATAGTTTTTCATAATATGCATTTTCATGATCTTCTTGAAGACCCCTTGTATGCATAGATTTCAAATTTTTTCTATCAAAATAAACATATATTTCAATTTAGTTTTCCACAGAGTCTTTGAAGTCCCCTTTTTTATATGCATACATTTGTATATGCCATATAAATATACTTTATGTACACAAATATATTGCTTATTAACAAAAATTTCATGTTTAAAAAGTGAGAGAAGTATATTAAATCTATGAAATAAACAAAACTCATACTTTGTTTGGCCTGTGCTTCTTCCAAAAACCACACTAACATGACAGTAAAGGGACTAAAACAATATAAAGACAGGAAAAACGTAAGAGGAGAAATCACAGCATAACTTTAATCTAGCAGATCAGAGAAAGCTGAAACCAAGACTGGCAGCTTGGGTAGCCCAGGCTCAATATGATCCATATCAGTGACTCTTGAATAGCTAGGGAATCGTAGGTACAGCGACCCTCTGAAGATGGATATTCAGTTAATACTGAAAACAGGAGAGCTGAAATCCTCACTCTCAGTTGGCTCCCTAGCCCTGGATCCTGTCCTCCACTCCAAGCGGCTGAGTTACGGCTCCTTCCCTACCCTGACGAAGACTGGAGGTTTCATTCTAAAGATGTTGAGCTCCACGCAACAGGCAAAGTGGATCATAGAGACATCGTTCTGAAAAACATGGAGATCAAATAACAATCCACAGTGAAAAACGTTCTTCCAGTTTTTAATGTATTCAATGTCAAAATTACTCTGAAAGGATACACAGCTGATGCTATAAAGAAATGAAAGTGACTATCCTTCTAGGACTGACACAAATCCTAAAATGTGACTATATGGGGAAGTCCCAATTCATTAATTCATTCAAAAAATGTATTTATTGAGTGACTATTATATGACAAGAACTGCCCTATGCAGAGAAGTTAGAAGACATTATACCCTGTTCTCTCAAGAGGTGAGTGTTGAAGGAGAGGGAAAGATATTAAACAAACCCACAAATAATTAATAATGATTATAGTAGTTAGTCCATTGGTGACTAAGAATTCTGGTAAATATCTTATATGAAGTAAAATATTTGACAACTGTGGTGGCACAGATATCAACCCATCAGGATGGTCACCAAACCTGGACAAACTATTGAGCCATTCCAGTGCCACCCAGCTAACTAATACTGCTGAATATAATAATAGCCTCCTGCTCAAAGTTTAGTTGTTCCAGTTTCATTATTAAAAATGGCAAAATGAAAAGAAGGCTCTTGGGGAGCAAACTTGTCTAAAAGGCCATACCTGTGATGCTGAAAACAGCTGACTTACACTGCTACTCTTGAGGTCAGGCAACATGTCATTCTTTTTAAACTCAATACACTCGACCGAGTTTCCACACCTGTTGGGGTGGGTGCATGTGAATAAGAAACAGTAGAAATAATCATCAACCCTGGATTGTTAGAAGACTGAGCGACTGAGCACTCCTACAATGCTCATTGTATTTTACATGATGTTAAAATTATTATTTTAGAGGGTAGAGATCAGCAATCAGCAAAATGTCAAATGCAGCTTTTTGAGATGACAACATTGAGAACTGAAGCTAATACAGTTGTTCTCTCCCCCACTCCACCCCACCCCTTAACTGCAGGATACAGGGTCTTACATTTGGATTATGGAAGTGAGAAAGGGTAGGGGTCATATAGAGGGTCTAAAGAAATCACCTACAGAGTAGAGGTTGAAAAAGAGTCCTCTCTTTTTTTTGAATTCTTCGAGAGTATCCATCTTGGACAAAGCAGCCTTTTTCTTTCCTTACTCTGCTCTTTCTGCCTCCCTCATGCTCATTCTCTCTCCTAACCCCCCATTCCAAACTTCAAGGTGACCTCCTCCTTGTGGTGGGTAAATGATGTATGAGAGGGACCACCCGGCTGGGCCCTACCACGCTGCAAGTGCCTCCCGGTCCGGTAGGGTTCAGGAAGGCCCCCCCCATTTGAAACGCTTTGTATTTTTTGTTACAATTGTTCTCCCAGCACTGGATGAAAAACATGGCCTGAACAATAGAGCTGTGTGAGATTTAAAATATCTGAATGCATAATAATTTCACCCAGCTTTCAGAAAAAACTAAAAAGTAAATAACAAAAACCACTCCTCAGAATGTGTGAACCTAAATTTTCGGTCACTTTGGAAGCATTTTCTTCTTTTTCTGGTTTTTCATTATCTAGGCCACTTGGCAATAAAACAGCATTTAATTATACATAAACGTGAGAACTCTGGTGAGAGAATACGGGTTGTGATCTAGTCAGAACTAGTCTGAGGCCAGGAATTGTTCATCTTCCATGCTGTTGTTCTGATCTGCTTTTTCCCTGTGTATTTTGTGCCTTTATTTTCCCCCTGCAGTTTTTCTCAACTTTTCTATGCTTTCTTTTTTCAGTAGATGATCTTCATTTTCTGTTTCCCTTCATTATTTTCCCTTTTAAAAGTCCCACCTTTTCCAAGATATAAGCAGTTCCCTCGCAGGGTGGGGGTGGGGGGACAAAAATCTATTTCGTTCAAGAAATAATTACCCAAAATTGGAGTGCATTTTTCAGCAATGAAAATTGTAGTCATATTAATGAGATCACATTTTACAGGAAGGTACTTTTAGGGAGAGTGTGACAAAACCCACTCCATCTGAGGCAGAAGTTTCTCCTGGAACGGCATTACAATGACTTCATATGAATAAAATTTATCCTAGGAATCTGTTGCTCTTTACAGATTTTTGAGAAAGTACCCTGTTCCTCCTGTCAGTGGCAGGCAGAATCTTTTTAATTCTTTCTCCAATAATATTGCAGTACTCCAGTACTCATTTTAAAGATAGATGGATTTTTTTCTCTCTCTCATAAAGAAGAACATTGTGGGGGAAAAAACGCTGGATGTGATTTCAAAAAATGTCAAAATATGTCAAACGCAGATACCACTCAAGGGTTTCATTAACTGAAGCTTTGGTGATAAGTGTCATCTTGTCAAAGACCCACCCATCTCTTCCAATACATTACCAAATGTACTAATTTCCTTGCCGAGCTTGATGTTTATTGTATAGCTGAAATTGAAAATGGTCGGTAATGGAGTGAGCTTCAATCCAAGACCAATTCTGAATCTAAATTACTTGCTTCTTTCAATAGCATCGACAGAGGAGAGCTTTATGCACCTTGTACCTAATCAACCCTTACTGTGACCCTAAATTCAGCAGTCTTCAGAGATTAATAATAAAATCCTCAGTTCAAACAATTATTTGCCCTGAACAAGTTGCCCATTTCTTATGCTGAGAATGAAAGAATGTGACATTATTTTTTAAAAGCTCTGCATGTTGTGGCCCACCATTTATTTTTGATCTCTGACCCCCCCTATGCAGCCTGATTGCAAATCCCACGTGCTCACGTGAGCTTTTTTGGGGGTGGAGGGTGGAGGGTGGGGGGTGAGGGGGAGGGGGAGGGGGGAGTTGTGAGATTTCTTTGTTAGCATTTTAACATGCCTGTTCTCATTTCATATCCCCTCACAGTTGTGGCTTTTCTTAAAGTAAACAAGACACAATCTATTAATATATATTCATAAAGTTTTTAGTATAGAGCTCTACTGACCATGAAAAGCATGGTCTAGTTCTGGCTTTGTGTCAAACTATTCAGTCTCTAGAAAATAAAAACAAACTCTGAAAATTAAGTACATTTTTACTTTCTCAAAGATTGAATTCAAAGGATATTTTGAGATTCAAGCCATAAATGATCTTTAATGAAATGTTGTTACTCCATTCCATTTGACAATGTAACTTATAGCCATTGAGTGTAATAATCTGAGCAATATCAGATTCTTTCACTCATTTTTACAGTGACAATCATTTATATTCAATACCAGAGTGTTTTTAAAAAATTGGTAGTTTCTTGTTTTCAAGTTCATTGTGTCCAACTTGTATTCATTAGTGTAGTTACAATGATGTAAAAGCTCAATCTCTGTTCTTCATAATATTAAGGAGTTGAGGGAGATCCCTGAAACAAAATAGAAAAGGAAATACTTGGAAATCCTAAACAGTGTTTTTCTTTCTTCATCAAGGGTCAATCCTATGTCCAGGAGCCATTGGGGGAGGGAAGAGACCCATGTTGGCTCGCTGCCCTAGAAACTGTCTGACACGGTCAACATTTCCTCTGGCTATCTGCTTTTGGGGGGAAACTCTCCCTAAGGACTGCCCTTTTTGACAGAATGAAAGTCTCGAGAAGATTCTTCTGCCTTTTGAATGCACTTTTTATGCCCAACAGCAATAATGGCCATCTAAGTATTGATTATATAATATGTCTGCTGAGGTGGCAACTACATTATTGTTGCAAGAGGCAGAGAGAATGAAAAACTAGGTTATCTATGAACTCTCTCAGCCATTGAGCATTTCTTCCAGCAGGGTCAATATACGAAGCTACATTTAAACCTTATTTTACTTTATTCTGTGATTTCAATTGATGGCTAATACAATGAGATGGCCAGTGTGTTCCAAGTTCTTTCAAAACAGCCTTGTGTTTACCATGGAATGGGCACAATTAGTTCATCAACACAAGGTAGAAATAGCCTTATAGAGGTCTGCTACAAGAAGAAGGACAGGAGTTGCCCAGGATGTTACCTTATTATAGTACCCACATGCTAATTAGCAGCAGTGAATTGGTTAAGTAGACACTGAACCACAGTTAGGGCATAATCCAATACTTTCTCTTTCATCCAAAAAAAAAATACAATAGATAATACATAGTAAGTCCACTGTGTATAGTCACAGCAATAAGGGCACTGAGCTTTTATTATAAACTGAATTACATCCCCTGTATGGAGACACTAGACAGCCTATCATGTATTAAGAATTCAACTGAGATCACAAGCTTACCTCACCTAAACCTTCTGTGATGTGACGAGAATGACTTTTGGTTACTGTACATCAAAGAGGGTCTAGCAGGCTAAACAGTGATTGATCCATTCTCCTCTTTCAAGTCCTCTCTTCAAAAATAGCTTTAAAGCAATCATCTAATAAGTGTCAGAATAGAAGATAGAAAATGTTAGTACAAGCACTGGGCATATGTCTACACTAGCTACATTTTCTGCAAGATGTTCAATGACTGAACAAGGTCTTTAGAGTAAATGCTGTCATCTCATAAGAGGCAAATATCAAGTGGGCTGAATTGATATGGAAAGAATGCAGATATTTCAAGTGATCTAAGGCAACATACTATGATTTGCTTGACTAGCAGAAAATTCTGTTAGGAAAATTTTGGAATAATTTTATTCATATACAAAATCTGTTATGGAATTAGCTTCTTACCTATATATACAGAACCAATATTATTTTTTACAATAATTGACAAAAAATGCCTTTATTAAGTTTTCTTATAGGATGAAAACTGAGTTAAAAGGACCAACTATGTGAGTGACATGTATGGTGATCACAAATTGTTCCCAAATATTCTGATTCTCTCCTTCCTGCTTCCTTTGAAGTCAGATCGAGTCAAATGACTTACTTTGGATAATCAAATATAAGCCAAGTGACCTATATCACTTGTGGGTAGAAAAAGTAAGAACTAGTGGAAGATTCACCACCTCCTTCCACCCCTAGTGGAAGATTCGCCACCTCCTTGCTTCCCTGTCTTCATGACGGTGGTACATGTATCAAGATGGAACATCCTTCAGCACAGGTCTCTGAATCACTTTATGTCCCTGCTGAACTGCACTGTATGTGTAGCATGAACAAGAAATAATCCTAGGCCGGCGCCGCGGCTCACTAGGCTAATCCTCCGCCTAGCGGCGCCGGCACACCGGGTTCTAGTCCCGGTTGGGGTGCCGGATTCTGTCCCGGTTGCCCCTCTTCCAGCCAGCTCTCTGCTGTGGCCAGGGAGTGCAGTGGAGGATGGCCCAGATGCTTGGGCCCTGCACCCCATGGGAGACCAGGAAAAGCACCTGGCTCCTGGCTCCTGCCATTGGATCAGCGCGGTGCGCCGGCCGCAGCGCGCCGGCCGCGGCAGCCATTGGAGGGTGAACCAACGGCAAAGGAAGACCTTTCTCTCTGTCTCTCTCTCTCACTGTCCACTCTGCCTGTCAAAAAAAAAAAAAAAAAAAAAAAAAAAAAAGAAAAGAAAAGAAATAATCCTGCATTGTGTTAAAACCCTGACATTTTTGGAGCTGTTTGTTATCATACCATAACCTCCATTTATCTAGGCAGCAAACATTTACTGAGTACATACTATGTACCAGAGTAGAAAATAACAAATAATTGTTGACTGTGATTTGATGTGTTACCCTTTGTTACCTCTTTGTTAAATCTCTTTATAGAGGTTTAACATGCTGCTTTAATCAGGACAAGCTGATCTAAGATTAGTGATGTTTCAACATTTCTTTTAATGAATGACAGAGTTTCAGAGGACAGTCTATTGTATTAAAAATAGATTTTTTCCAAAAATTTGTAAGATTTCTTGTATTAACCGAAAATCTGCTATTCTTAACTCATGCCAGCTGTATCTCAACCACATCAGGTACTGTCAGGTATGTGCTTTAGGCTCAGGCCATGCCCTTCACCTTGAACACTCTTCTCAGCCCTTACTCCTCAAAGACCAGTTCTTTGAAGTGTCTTCACTTCCAAGAATATTTCCTCTGCCTCTGTGCATTAGGTTACATACCTGTGTTAGCACTTACTTCAGTTTGCTTTACACTATGATTGTTTACATGATATAATTTCTTGCTTGAAGAAATGTGCGTACATTCATTGTGAGAAAAGATGTTGTTTTATTCTACTTTATGTATGTAGTCTGACTCCTCCCAATGCCCCCACAACAATAGATATGAAATATCTGTTTGGATACATTTCTTAAAACATGTAGTTCCCAGTTTTGAATATTGAAAAAACAAAGAAATCTTTTCAGCTCTAAGAAGGAAGGTTTGCAAAGCTGATACTTTTGGCTACTCTTGAGGGAATTCGTTCTCTGTTGGCCAGGGACCAAAGCCTGCCTCCTGAACACCCATCACACTTAGCTAATTTACATTCTCCCCAGGGACCAGGACAGAAAGACAAAAGAGGAAGGAAGTAGGCATTTCAGAAGAGTAACCCACCCACAAAGAACCAGTTGAAAGGGCGGAATGAGGAGGGGAGGACAGAGTCAGTGCTTTAAAAAATCACCAAAATAGTGTAGAATTTAAATTCCATTTCATTACCCATTTTCCCATCACCATATCAATAACTCTCTTGACTTTATGTGTCTCTAGTCTGACTCCTCTCAACGCCCCCCACAACAATGGATAGGAAATATCTGTTTGGATGGACTAGTATGATGCTCAAAGCTTGCTGCCAGACAAGACTGTATAAAAGCCAGGGTAAGAATAGCAGCCAGTGGTCCTAGTAGTGGCATTAACCAAGTAAAGAGAGGATTTTATAGAGGAGAGGAAATGAAGGAGTCTCTGGACCATTGGATGGGTGTGGTTTTACCTGGCCTGATTGGTTATAACATAACAACAACACTGTTAAGGTCAGTCTGGTCTGTAGTACCATACCCGTTAGTGAGGTGATTTGACTTTGGAGACCTTGAATGGAGTAAGCGGAGGTCTCAGTGGACCTAGTGACCTCCTCTGCTAACTGTTGGAGTTGTTTTGGAGTGTTGGTTGAGATAACATTGTGGCCCAAAGCTGTTCTTGAGATCACTACCGAGGAGAGAGAGGCTGTGAAGCTGATCCCACCAAGACTGGGAGAAAGGCTGCTCATCTCTTGCTCATCTCTTGTTGGAGGTAGAGCTGTTGATATATATAAGAGTAGAGCTATGATTACAAGGGAATGAGGCCCCAAGTGGGCTAGACAGGGTCTAGAACATAGGACAGTCATTATTGGAGGACCTAAGAAAGGTGCTGTCTAAACCACAAATAAGTTTTCTGATTGAGAGGCCAATAGAAATTGACAGAGGGGATTGATAATAATTAGGTGGGTTTAAGGCCTTGCCAGCTATGAGGCCCAGACTTATCTGTCTCTTCACATGGGGTCCATCATAAGAGAGGTGTGAACCTCCTTGGGGAAGGCCTGGGAGAGGAGCTGGCCAGGTAAAGGCAGGTGGCAACTCTAACAGGAAATTTACAGTTCTATCTGCAATCTTGCTGACCCTATTTGGCCTGTCCCCTCAGCAGCAGTGGTTACTTGGGAAGCTAGGCCAAGTGAAGGGCTTTTCAGTGTGGAGCCAACAAGATCTGTGGCTCTGACCTACCTGGGTGTCCTTCAACTCCAGAGCAGTTTGATTTCTAGTGATCCAATTCTTGACTGGCAGAGCTGACTTCTGCTAAAGCCCCGGCTTTCCACGTCAAAAGCCACTGTAGTGGACTGGCCCGTTAGGTCTCCTTGATGGCAGATCACTGTATAGAGCAGCCATTAATTGGCCTGCCACCTACCTTTACATTTGTTTTGCTGCCTAGCTTTCTCTTCCTCCTGGGTTTTATTAAAGCAGACTAGAGGAAACCTTTAAGAGGATGTAAGTTAAGGGGGGGGGGGGGTCTCAAGTCCCACCTCTAATCTTTGGTGGCCTAAACTAGAAATCTATAGTCACAGGCATGTTCTGATAGTGTTTTTTTCTGTGAGGTGGACAATCCCCATGAGGAAAGCTATGTTTTCACTTTAAAACTTTCTCTCCCTTCATTTGGTCTGAAAGGGAGGCTTTGCCCATTTACTGTGCCAATGGCAAAGTAAATCAAGCTGTGAAATCATAATTTAAGCTCTTGTTTTGGCTATGCTGTTATTACAGAAAAATGTTAGCCATCCATTTTATGAAGCCTAAAGATCAAACAGAACATGGTACATCGTAGAGAGTCCTTCAACATCGAGTCAGTTTCCCACCTCAAAAAGAATAGAGAAATGAGGGAGCAAGTCAGGTTTCCCAGATCGCTTACTGACAATAACAATATCAAATGAAAACGGCAAGCAATTTCAGCTGTTAAATAACAACTTATGAAATCATATATCAGAAGGTCCAATGCCTTCTTTTTTTTTAACTTTTATTTAATAAATATAAATTTCCAAAGTACAGCTTATGGATCACAATGGCTTCCCCCCATAACGTCCCTCCCACCCGCTACCCTCCCCTTTCCCACTCCCTCTCCCCTTCCATTCACATCAAGATTCATTTTCAATTTTCTTTATATACAGAAGATCAGTTTAGCATACATTAAGTAAAGATTTCAACAGTTTGCTCCCACACAGAAACATAAAGTGAAAAATATTGTTTGAGTACTCGTTATAGCATTAAATCTCAATGTACAGCACACTAAGGACAAAGATCCTACATGAGGAGTAAGTGCACAATGACTCCTGTGGTTGACTTAACAAATTGACACTCTTGTTTATGGCATCAGTAATCACCCTAGGCTCTTGTCATGAGCTGCCAAGGCTATGGAAGCCCCCTGAGTTCACCGACTCTGATCATATTTAGACAAGGCCATGGTCAAAGTGGAAGTTCTTTCCTCCCTTCAGAGAAAGGTACCTCCTTCTTTGATGACCCATTCTTTCCACTGGGATCTCACTCGTGGAGATCTTTCATTTAGGTTTTTTTGTTTGTTTGTTTGTTTTCTTTTTTTTTTTTTTTTTTCCCCCAGAGTGTCTTGGCTTTCCATGGGCTTTTCAGCCGTAAAACAGAGTTCTTAATAAAAATTTCTTCATATAGACATACAATCTGTATACGTGTATAACATAACACGTATAGATAGAACAATAAAGCTGTTTCAGTAATAGCTTCTTAAAATCTTTAACTTTTTTAACTTACCAACTGATTAGAATTACTTTCTGCTCTTAGTAACCTTGATTAACCATACTTTCTCTAAGTTGGAACTTGTAGTGCATTATTGGCTTCATCTGCATACAGAGCCATCCCAAAGTCCTGAATGCAATAGAGTTCACTGGAAAAAGCCCTTGAGAACCTATAGGAGGACAGTTAAACACAGAACCAACAATGTTTAGTTTTATAAGCAGCAAATCTGATATGCAAAACTGTGGATAACAAAAGACTTTAAATAGCCATATTTTAAAATTATAAATTCATTAGCCAACAAGATACACTTGCTTAATCCCTGCAGTATTTTTGAAAGCACCTATAGGATTTTATAAAACATTTAACTCTTTTAGGCCTCTGGGCCTTTCTTATAACCATCATGTCAGATAACAACATGAAATCATTAGACTTTTTTATCTTTTAGAGATTTGTATCAGTAGCATTTTACATTATCATAACTTAAAATTTAACACCACTTCGTATCTTGACAGTTCCTTTAATGTAATCCAAATAGCCTGATTAGTTGGTACCTCTACAAGATGAGAGACATATATCCTTTGATATTTCCAGTGGCCCAACTGGAAATATCAAAGTGCAGAGAATTTGGAACTTTGATATTTTTCAGAATGCCTGTCAAGGATGCCAAGGAGGTTTAAAATATCCAGTAGAAACAGAATCCCTTAACATCATGACATAATATAGACCAGATTTGTTCAATTACAAAGCGATTACTCAAATGTTTTAGAATAAGCATATACTTAAACCATGATTCTTCATAGAAACTCAGCTGTTTTAAACCATCAGAACTTAATAGAGACATTAAGAGAATATAATAAACTACAGAACACAAAATTGGTGCCTCTTTGGTCATTCCAAAAGTCAGAAATAAAATCTCAAATTTAAGAGCCAGTGCATGGAATCATATCTCATGATTTGGAACAGTTTTAATGGAGTCAGAACTAGGGAAGAGAGAATAGCTTACTGAAGCTGGCAAGAAAACTGACAGTCACCAATTAGACAAAGCTATCAAAAGGAGATGATGCAGTTTTCAAACAGATTTGTAAGATGATTTCAAAATATTATAAAAATCTTATTGCTTTAACAGAGGATCAGATTCTATTTTTATGTCAAATAATAGCTTTTGCTTTCCACCTGCTGACTTCCTTGATTTACATTTTGAAGTAACCCTTTAGAAAAATCCAAATTAAGACATTTTCTAAATAAGGTAACATATCAAATTTCAACCTTAGCTACTTTCAAGCTGTATTGAATCATTTTCACATAGACAATTTATGAAAACATGATAGCAAACTCAAGTAGTTTTTCTATAGAATATAAGGTGTTAAGAGTACCAACATTTACATTTAGACACATTTATCTCATTTGACTTTACCCAATTAACATTTAGCAGTTACACCTGGATGACTGAAGATGCTGGTATTCTATCATACCTCTACCTGAATTATGGTCAAAATTACATTCATATAAAACTCTAGCTATAAATCAATGACATTAAGCCAGAGACTGCAAAATCCACTTTAGGGGCTATAAGGAGTACTGATTACCCATTGCTATATAATCAGAAACCTGTTAAAACAAATTGCAAAAGAAATTTGGTAAGTTACAAAGCAATATTTTTAAAGGCAGTGATCTTCCTAGATTCAAAAGAGAGAAAATCCTTTAAACCTGGTATCCAGTTACAGTTGAACCAAATTCTCATGCATGAGATTGTTATCTACCAAAGACATCTTTTTAGGTTTTAATTGAATTTGGGTCTAGTTTTCCTTTTACCAAAAGAACACCTTAGGCCAATGATGCCTGAGTCAACAGTTAGCAACTTGGGACTGCCTCTGAGTCAAAAGTTCAGGCAGGTTCTGTACTGGTCCCAAAGATGACTGTGGGACAGGGGCTGATGTGTCAAGGACAAGAAGTCCACCGAGATAGTTTACAATTATGTTAGGTTTAATGGGAGAGGGCATCCACCAGAGCAGATGGGCACCCTCCAGAGATTCCTAAGGAGGAGAATCTGATAGGTGACAGAATAAGGGGCAATTAGGGAAAAGGAGATATGTCTGGATATGTCTGGAAATAGTAATTAATCCAGTGAGCGGGCTGGTTTGAAGGGCCACTCTAGGAAATTCTTGCTAATAGGACCAGGAAATCTGGATTTTGTAGGAATTGAGGAGACCTGATGAGATATGGAAGCATTGCTCCAGGCTGTGCCCATTCTCACCAACAAATTACTCTCCAAGGAAGGAAGGAAGACAAGTATGCAGTTTTCGGCTGACATGTAATAGGCTCAAGAGCCATAAAAAAATCTGATTATCCTGTGTGGCTTGCTCATGATAAAACAAAAGAGCCATCAGAAGGGTAGGATAGGTGACTTGAGAGCTCAGTAGGATGCTATTCTTATGGTAATATTGGAACTGGAGGGGGAGGGGTGAAGAGCTGTTGAAGAACAAGGGCCAGAGGGTGATGGCATGGAGATGGCTGGTTCCCAAACTTGCCTTTGCTTCTCTGGGAGGAGAGTGTTAGAGAGGATCATAGGTAGGGCAGGGGGAGTAGATTTTGGACAGGGGCTGCTTCTGAGATAAGGTTGAAATTCCTGGGCAGGAGGAAAAGGTACCTCGAGCAAGACTATGAGAGCTGGAGCAGCAAACATAGAAGAAAGGGTTTTGGTTTTGGAAGTTAAGAGAACTTGACCTGGAGAAACTTTAGAGCTGCAATAGGAGAAAGCTTAGATATAGGACATTTTTTCCACTCTCCTGATTACTCACAGAATTGATAAAGATCTTGAATAGTGTCAGGGTCAAACGTGGACTGCTTGTAGAGGTAGTAGATGACCAAGAGGAGGGTTGGATGGAATGCGATGGAGAAGTTCCCATGGCGACTCATAGAGTTGGATTGGCGGATATTGAACAGCCCTAAGATCGCTGCCATCTGACAGGTTATGGGAACAGAGGTGGGATTGTCACCCATGCACTCACTGGAGCCCAGGGCTTAGCCTGTATAAGGTGAAACGGGGGACTGAGTCATCACCCACACCCACTGTTGCCCAGACACAGAGTCCGTGGATGAACGAGGCTATAGGGGTTGTGGTGCCTGGTATTAGGACTTCAGGGCAAAGTCGAGTAGAACCATAACCCATAGAAAGTCGCACTGAGAGGATCCTCCACCCAACTCATCTTACCTCAGGAATTTGAGAGGCCGGTGTCTGGATGAAAATAAGAGAGCATTCAGTGGCATGAATGTGTTTTGTGGCTGGCTTAAATCCAAGATCCTGAAGCAGCTCAGGTCCCTGGGGGACAGTAAGGTTGACAGAAGAGCCTGGATCCAAGTCAAAGCACCAATGTAAGACCACCATCAAACACACCAAACACACAGTTAGAAGAAAGGTTTGGCTGGCGCCATGGCTCACTAGGCTAATCCTCTGCCTTCGGCGCCGGCACACCGGGTTCTAGTCCCGGTCGGGGCACCGGATTCTGTCCCGGTTGCCCCTCTTCCAGTCCAGCTCTCTGCTGTGGCCCAGGAGTGCAGTGGAGGATGGTCCAGGTGCTTGGGCCTTGCACCTGCATGGGAGACCAAGAGGGGCACCTGGCTCCTTCCTGGCTTTGGATCAGCGCGGTGTGCTGGCTTCAGTGTGCTGGCCGCAGTGGCCATTGGAGGGTAAACTAATGGTAAAGGAAGACCTTTCTCTCTGTCTCTCTGTCTCTCTGTCTCTCTGTCTCTCTCTCTCTCATTGTCCACTCTGCTTGTCAAAAAAAAAAAAAAAAAAAAAAAAGAAGAAGAAGAAAAGAAAGGTTTATTGTCAGGTGGGCTTCCTGTTGGGCCATCTGGTCACCTGGCTTCCAGCAATGGCAGCTGGGGCTAGAGCTGGGGCTAGAGCCTAGGATGGTGTCCAGGATGTAAACCATGCTGCAGACAAGACCATGCCGTTTTACTAACATAATCAGCCACATGCTGTTTTATTTAGCACTTAATCTATTTCTAGCCCTTCATTATCCTGAAAGACAGTAAGAAAACATACTTTGTTTTTAAATAGATGAAAGATTGAATGCTCACTCTCCCACAAACATGCCTTAAAAACATCTTAGAATGTTACTTTTTAGTTTGGTCTCCTAATTTTGTAAAAGAGAATTGATTACACCTATATAAAATTGTAATTATAAGCATTGGCAAGAGAGAATTGTAGAGACAGGCATTAGGTACAGTAGGTTAACTTCTACTTGGGACCTCTGCATCCCAAAGGCCTGCAATCAAATCCCATTTCTGCTTAAGAGCCGGCTTCCTATTAATGTGCCTAGGAAGCAGCCCAAGTGTTGGGGTTTCTGCCACCCATGTGGGAGACTGGAATGAAGTTCTTGGTTCCTGGTTCAGTCCTAGCTGTTGCAGGCATTTGGTTAGCGAATCAGTACATTAAAGATACTCTCTCTGTGTGTCACTCTGCTTTTCAAATAAATAAATAAAAAATCTAGTGGCTTGGTTGGCCACTAGAATATCAGTACATGTGACACAAGCAGAAGCTTGATAGCTACTTACATGTTGGGGCTTGTTCTCTTGAAACTCTTTGACCCTGTAAGAAGTACAACTAGAGCCAGTCCCTTAATAATGAACAACCTCTTTGAGAGAGATGAACAGTGGTCCAAGATGTCCCACTAAGCCTCACCCTTGCCATCCTTCTGGCTGAGTACAGCTGCGTGACTGTGGCCAGGCAAAGCTAACGGAATACCTGTCACAATAGTAATAAATTTGAATGCATTGTTGTTTTAAGCCATCATGTTTCAGAGTAGTTTGCCATACAGCAGTAGATAATTGATGCGGTACCTTTTATCTCCAAAATATTTAGCAATTGTAGTTCTATAAAAACTTCATTTTTGTTGTAAACCCACATTCCTTTGCAGATACTGGCTATTGTGCCGATAATGCCTTTCCCCTTGTCTATTACTCTTTGTATTCCAGTGTATGCAGCATGGGACGGCATATAGTAAGTGTTCAACAAAAGATGAATAAATACATTGAAAGAGTCAAAACATGTCACAAGAGGTGGACATTTGGCCAACTGATTGGGACACCTGCATTTCACATCTGAGTACCAGGTTCAATTTCTGACTCCAGCTTCTGGCTAAGGTAGAAGCTGACAGGCAGTGGTGTTGGCTCAAGTAGTTGAGTTCCTGCCACCCATGTGGGAGATACGGGTTGAGTTTCCAGATCCCAGCTTCAGCCTTCTGTCTGAATCAACAGGTGGGATTTTTCTCTTTCTCACTCTCTAAAATGAATAAGAAAAAAAATATATTTTAAAAATGCCAAAAAACACCTCCAAAAGTATACACTAAATCTAACACTGTTCTGATTAGAATTTTAAATAGAAATGCATGTATTTTATTGCTTTTATGAAGGAAAATAATGGCTTCTATGCAACACATGTTATCAAAGCTACTAAAGAAAATGTCTTAGCTAAAAAAGATATTTAGAAAACTTAAACAGTTCTTATACTTACTAAATTATCAACTGAAAAATTATAATATGCACTGTTATCAAAGGTGCTGTAAAGTAAGACTTATATAATGCTGGTGCTTAGGAAAATCAGGATGAAATTTGGGAGATGAATCCTGATACATGTAATAAGAACCATAAAAAATTTTACTTTGATCTATTAATTCCATTTCTGCCAACCTAACCCACAAAAATAGTTCAAAATATAGAAAAATAAGCACAAAAACATTGAATAAGGCATTATTTATTTTTAAAAAGTGGAACTAAGCTAAAATCCAATAAATGGTAATTTGGCTCAATCAGTTATGAACCATTCATTCATACTGCACTTTAAGCAAACAGCTATGACAGCCATCATGGAACATATAAAAAAATAAATATTGAGAGACAAAAATAAGGATACATAATTGTATGCATCCAATGATCACAATAGTATAAAAGAATAAATATAAATATAATTACAGGGACTTAGGGATCATTTCCCCCTGATTTTATATATTATTATTATATAATTTAAATACAATTTTTAAGACAAAAATATGTGTAGAAGTATATAAAGTTATAATATTGTTAAAACAGTTTTGATGCTGATTTTCAATGATTCTCTACTGCGACTGAGTTTTTGCAGTAATTGCTGTAACATGAAAGAACTCAAGAATCATGGTATTCCACCATCTGATTTAGCATTTCTTTATTTAGTATTGCACTTTGCAGGGCTTTTTTCCTAAGATTTTATTTATTTATTCGAGAGGTAGAGTTACAGACAGAGAGAGGGAGAGACAGAGAGAAAGGTCTTCCATCTGCTGGTTCACTCCTGAATTGGCTGCAATGGCTGGAGCTGGGCCAGTCTGAAGCCAGGAGCCAGAAGTTTCTTCTAGGCCTTGCATGTGGGTGCAGGGACCCAAGTACTTGGGCCATCTTCCACTGCTTTCCCAAGCCATGCACAGAGAGCCGGATCAGAAGAGGAGCAAGCTGGAACATGAACCCGCGCCCATATTGTATGCTGACGCCGCAGGCAGAGGCTTAGCCTACTATGCCACAGCGCTAGCCCCAAGTGTTTTATGCATCACTGTTTCTTAAAGAAATTTTTTTCTTAATTTTGTAAATATTATTAATACTCATGCATGAGCTGTTTGCATGAGGAAATAGCTATCTATATTGAGAACAATTCCTTGTGAAGGTGGCAGATGCTCTAGTTCAGGATGGATTTACATATTGCATTAAAAGAACTACAGCATGGACAAGGATTTCATTGTAGTCTCAGACATATCCCACCCTCCCTCCACCCCCTTAAATCACTGGAACAAGACCTATGCCAAGTTCCCAATGACTTTAACTCTTCCTGAAGTTTGGAAGATCTCCAAAATCTCTTGCCCTTAGGATTTTCACAAGTTCTAATCACATTTCCAAATGTATTTCTACTAGCATGATTTGCTTTCATCTCAAATACAATAGACCTAAAATGACCTCAACTGACTCTTCTAACTGCTATGTTTCTTACATCAGCACCCATGTTATGAGTCATTTAATTGGAAGTCAGAAAACTATTGATGTATCTCTCTTCTTCCATAAATATGTCTTTCTTGATAATAATTCTGGGCTCAAAGCTCTTCTCTTTGCTTTTCCATCTTCCATGTTTACTTAGGTTTATCACTAATATCATCCATGACGTGTTAAATAACAAGATGTCCTTATTGGAAGCCAATAATATTCTACCTGTGTCTCTTCCTAGAGATTCAAGTCCACTGATATCTGAATATGTATAGAATACCAGTTGTTCATGCAACTTCCTAGGACACTATAAACTTCGCATACATTTCTAACCACCAACCTGGGAAAATTCAGCTGTAACGTTAGAAGTTCTTCATAATTCAGAGCCAACCTAGTTTTTCTAGAGTCATCCTTTTAGTGATGCCTCACTGTAGAATTTCAAGGATACTCTACACATGATGAAGTAATTTCCAGGATGCAACCATATAACACAGTGTCAATGATGCTCCTTGGAGTTGTGCCACATAGAGCTCTATAACTCTATTCTCCATACCAGCCAGAGAAACCTTATTCTTTGAAAAATGCCCTTTTAACCTCTGTGTTTTTGGACTATGTTTGCCTAGCCAGTCTTGTCCACTTAATACACAGCACAAACCCCTTCTCTAGGAAAACTTTCATGTTTCCCCAGGCCTTTTCCTTTTTCTTGGTATCACTCTAATTGCATTTGTTATGCTCATGTTTGAGATGTGTCAGAATCGTTCAGGAATGTTATTTGTTTGTTTATTTATTTTTATATTCAGAGTAAAATAATTTATATGTGGCTCAGTAACATTCTTAACTAATGTATGGTGATAGAAATAAGAAAACTGTTTGTGTAGGAAGATT